CCTATATCTTAAAAACTACAGGAAATCCACATCTCCCTTAGCTTGAGATGCATATTTATCCCATAACAGCAAAAAAAAAAAAAAAAAAAAAAAAAATCAGTCTAATCTCAGCAGGAGTTTATCTTCTTTTAAAGTATATATAAGTTAACTTTTATGAAAAGTTTCTTCGCTGTTCCATATGAACAGATGTTCACAAGGAATTACTATGACACTGACTAGAAGTTAACCCGTTTAATCCAAATTTCTTTCTGCAAAATAAGTGCATGCATTTCTATCCTTGGGCCTCCCTAACACATGACATTTATGAATTATTACATTTTATGTTGGTGATGTTCGTAAAAATGTAGGTTTTATACTCTGCAGCAATTGTTGCCAGTGGAAAACTGCATAGTCTAAATTACACAAATCTGACTTATTTATACATATGAAAAAATAAGAAAAATTATGACATGAATAACTTATAACAAATAATGGTTACAAAAGTATTCAGAAACATTTTAGAAACATAAAATTTCAATACCACATCCTGCAGATGTCATTGTGGCAATGCGCCAAGTGACCTTTGACCTCATTTGATACGTACAAAACAATTGCACTTATTTTTTTAATAAAGTATTTTACTGACTTCCTCTTGTGAACGTTTGTGGCACATTTACCTCCTGCATTACAGGCAGTAAGTAAAGAGGTCTGGTCATGTGACCTTTCACACTTGATGCATAAAATTGATATTTCTTAGAGTAGACACTTTATTATTTGATTTCAAAACTTCAATTAGGTACTAAAAGTCAAAACAATTCTTTTAGAGCTACACTTTCCACTCAAAGACATGACCTGAGACTTCCTTTGGACTTGAGATTTGATGAAAACTTTACTCTGAGAGATTTAAGTTTAGACCTTAATTTTCCTTTCATGGACCAAGACATCATTTGGACTTTGACCCCACAGCTTGACTTGAACTTTCTTTTCAAGGATTTGAGATTTAATGTGGACTTGCAATTCACAGTCTTGAAAACTAAATAGAAATAAAAAAAACATAACATCTCTGACCTGATGTTTTATGCTTAATAAATTCATCGCAGAAACACTCATTATGTGTAACTTTTATTTGTCATCTTGTTCTTCAACATTTTATTAGCCTTTACACTAAGAAAAAAACTCTGACGCCACTTGTGTGAAGTTGTTATTGACTTGCTAGGTCCTTCAAAAAATTTCCCTCTTTCTCTTGTAAAAATGTAATACAGTGTGTGTTGATGTTTTGAAGGAAGTGCTTGGGAAAAGCAACACATTCATTTCAATGACACAAAAAATCCCATTATCATGTATCACTATTTTTGACAGGTTTTGAAGCATGACAGGCACCTTAGAGCCTGTTCACATGTCAGACGCTAATCGTGATTCAACACCAGCACTCCAGAACAGCAGCATCTGCTGAATCTGATCAAGATGCTTACTACATATTTCCTCCATAGCATTACCAATTCATGGATTAGCATAGCATAATTCATGCTATGGAGGGACAGTTATTAGAGTTGATGAGTCCTGAGAGCAAAATTGAAAAATAAATGCACACAAAACCAAAGTGTGTCCATTTGTAGAGAGATGACAGAGATTATTTTTGCTTTGTTTACAGTTTAGAAAAAAAAAGACTAATGATTTGGTACAGAAGAAACATGATGAAATACCGAACAAGTTGAATTTAAACTCTGGCAATGAGGCATTTTTTGGTATATGTTGATTAAAACATCAATTTTTTTTTATTGTTATTTTTAAGAAACAGAGTGTTTGGTAGAAATGTTATCACTTTGGCCATGTTCAGCTTATATATTGAAAAATTGTGCACATAATTAGAATTTCTTTTAGCTCATAATTAATTAAAATTTTTTCTTTGCCTTTTTATTGAAATTCTTCATAGTTAATCTCCCTGGTCTAATTCCATGTCTTTCCTGTGTTGCAATTTTTTTAGTTAATCATATAACTGTGGTTTAATGAAAACATTGAAGTTATAAATACTCATTGAAGTCATTATATTACATAGCATATTTCATTTTTATGTTCCATTATATTTCATGTACCATGAAATGATGAGATTCTTGGGACTAGTGTGATAAAATATTAGAACTATTTTCATGTTATAAGATCAGCAAATAAGTTGGTGTGGTATTGCAGATCCAAATTATTCAATTAAACTCATTTTAACCCTGCTATTCTGTGCTGTTTGCCATATAGTGCTTGGCCATTTAACGGGCCAAAAGACATTAGTATTATTTGTTGAGACGTATTTGTGAACAAACTGAGCTCAAACAGAAAGCTATGGCATCAAACTGGAGCTATGGTAACAATAACCAAGCTATAAAAAATACTCCTTGCATTCTTACAAAGTAGCATTTTGTAAAATTGAAATGTTAACCAATTTAAAATCTTTGAATTAATCTCTGCCAAAACTGTTAAGTTAAATTTAATATTAAATTTAGTATAACTGAGTCTTTAGTTCCTTTTGTTTATTTATTTGTTTTTTAATCACCTTGGTTTTGCCCCAAGAAGCTGGATGGAAAGTAGCCAGCAAGATGAGAGTGCAAGCTTGATCGATGCATTCACACCACACAAACATACACATTCTCAGCTGGAGCTCCTTTTCTCCCCAGTTCCACTGGGCTGTTTCTGTCTGGATCTATTTTGATAATAATAATAATAAAAATAAAAAAAAAACGTCACAGAATAGCAAGTGGCACAGCAACAGACTCGGAGAGTCGATGTCACCTCTAACTGTAAGAGACTGAGCTCTCTTTCTTGTAGAGCTACTGTAACAGAGATGAGCCACTGCAAGATACAACAAACAGTCTTTACAACATGGATGAAATATATCCAGTTTTTCTTTTTATAGGTGATCAGATCTTTTCTAAAATGAAGTTTTAGAAAAGAGGAAACTCAAGATTCAAAAACATAACACTCCTCCTACTGTTTTTCTAGTGAAGTCAAGGTTTTTCCACATTTTTCTATCTGTGTTGAGGGAATTTACTGCATATCTCTGCATTTGTCATGTGAAGGCTGCTTAAATCATTTCTGAAATATTCAGAAACTGAAGCACAGGTTTGTGTGCCAGAGGCGCCTGGTTCTTCATTTCAGCCAAGCCACGTCCTCATGCATGCTATCTTCCCCTGAGGACATGAATGGATGTGATCCTTTGAACAGTAGCACACTCACTTCTGGCCCTGAAATGTACCACAGGCAACACAGAGAGATTTAGGAGGTGCCTCCATTGGCTGACTAATCATCATAAAAGTACTCAGAAGAAAAAATTCTATAAACTTCTGGTTATTTATTTTAAAAGTGAAACTCCTATAGAAGGTAATGGATTTCAAGTGTTTACTGCTGTTGATGCGCATGGCTGTTAATAAAAACCCAGAACATTACGTTAATATTGATCTATTGAAAAGTATATGTGTCTAGTACAGAGTATAAGCACTCAGCACTTGGCTGGAGATCCTGTTCCATCAATGTAGCATGACATGCAGATGATGAGCCTGTAGTAAAGCTGAGGAAATATCCAGTTTGTCTAGTATCTCTTATCTTCCTCTTAACAGAGGGCATAGATTTTTATTTATTTATTTTTTGGTCTGGATAGTTTTCTGGAAAATCCAGCACATAAAAATCAGTTAATTTTTGTTTTGAAAAGTGGGCAGGCATGAGGTCCTGCTGGAAAATGAAAGCAGAAGCTCCACAAAGCTTGTATCACTCAACTTTCGATTCATATACTTGGGATAAACAGGCAGTGTTTTCACACAAGATCCCATTGTGGAGATGACAATGACTGTTTGGTGAATAACTTTTGAGTCAACAGTTTGGCACATAGAGACGCTCCGCAATAATCATTGCTCAGCACACGCACCTGTTAGTTAAATACCATTTCACATTTAACATCTCGTCACCTAATCCGTCAGCATGATCGACATATTTATTAGGAATTTAGAAGTTACCTCTAAATGACATACCAGTGTGGCTACAGCACCAATACAGTCCCTGTTGAAACAATTTGGCAAGAAATCATCACATTTCGGGTGATGTTTGTTCATCCATTTTATTTTGTATTATAAACTGAAAAAGTGTGGATTTTACCCAATTTGGTAATTTGTTTCTTATTAAACACTAAAAACAGGACTTAAAATGTTGCAATGCTTGACTGGTTTTGCAGTCGAGCAGTAGGGGAAATATGTAATGATTAAAATGTAAAAGTGACAAGAAAGAAAAGTAAACCCAAAAGGGCTTAAAATATGCAAATACATCAAGTGATGTAACAAAGAGAACGTGAAAGAATTTTTTAAAGATATGTTTCATAAGAAGGCACCAATCTGAGGTTAATCTGTTCAACTTCTCTTAAAAATCCCTCCATTGGATCACGAGTTCTGTCTTTTAATCATTTTTATATGAGATGCTAACAAATCCAAAAGAAGTACAACAAAGCTTTAATGTGCTTGATTTTGGTTCATTATTAATAATTCTATTCATTAATTCTTAGCACCTGCATAATTTTTCGTCTGCTCATTCAAAAACAGCCTACAGCTATATTTCAAAAGTTCATCCAACCCATGCAGACTTTCTCCCAAAGAAACATAAAATATTTACAAAAAACAAGAAACTTTCTGTAAAAAACAAAAATTATATATGTCATAGTTCCATTACTTCTAAGGAGAAAACATCATAAATAACAGAAATAAGACTTTCAAATATCTGTGTTGTAATTAATCTATTTATATTTGTTATAAAGTTCCTTGATAAATTAGCTTTTTTAGTGACATTCCACTTTATTCATTGTGTCTGCAGACTATTACTTAGCAGAGCCCCAACTATCCCAGAATTATGTTCTCTGCACAATTTCTGTTTGCAAGACCTCTATTACTTATGATTTGAAACCCCCCCCACAAACACTCCCAACAAATAAAAGGACAATTTCACAAAAAAAAAAAGTCATATGTTTTTGAACAAATTAATTTATTTACCTCCTGGCAAAAACTGATGCAAGAGCTTTGATGTTTCTCTCACAACTACAAGTGGTACGACTTTGATGAGAATCATTGAGTCATGCTTAATTCTTCACAGTACATTTCACTACACAAGTGAATAAAAGTCCACTCATTGATTCTACAGTAGTGAATGCTTTCAGTAGAAAGTAGCAATTTGTGCAAGAAAACAGTCATTTTGTACAACATTTGGAATTAGAAAGGCAAGATGAAAGAGGAGTATTGTTTTCAGTGAACATTTGAGAGCACATAGCCATGCTATCTGGTTGTGTCCTTTCTTTACATAACTCCAAAACTGAATAGCATTGCTACATTGATTTGTTTAGAGTCAATTCCTTGTGACCTCTTGTGCCTCAGTTATTCTTTTGCCAAGACTCTCTGCTTTTCCCACAAATTAATGTTCCAAGGTAGTTTCCGAAGGAGACTGAATTCACCGCTCTTTATTTTGTTTTCTAAGAGCGATATTCATAAAAAACAAATCCTTGGCATCAATTCATAAAACTAATAAAGGTTAAGCAAAATAGAAACTCATAAAATGCCATTGCAGATAGTTTTTTTTTAATTATTCTTATTGCGAGAGTATTAGCGTTGGTGACTATCTTTCAAGTTTTCACATCGTCTTGATTTAACATGCCTCCTATAATTTTCTCTACTCCCAGGAACTGACTTTAAATCCAATCATTTTCTCATTGCAGCAAATTATTTAAAGATGGTGTAAGTAATGACTTGCACTGCTATTTTGTTGCTCTACTGAAAAGATTGTGGGTGTGCGGACGTGCATTATGTGTGGGAGGTAAAGCGTATCGCTAATGAGCGTCAGAGAACAGAGTGTACCTCTATCTACACACGTTTTAATAAATCAAAAATGAATGCAGCTTATCAATACACGGATAAGAGTGCAGCTGAAAAAAATCCATCTTTTGTAATTTGAATGCTTTCTATAATGATATGTTATGCATCTATTTCTGCACAAAATACACAGTTTTTGCTTGATTTATTATTTATGTGACTAATTTTGTTTACTTCTGACAGATGTTTTTTTTTTTCTGCTTTTATGCAGACATGATGATGAAACGGTTTAAAGAAGTTACTGTGCTTGGCTTTTATTTTTCATTAGGATCAACCAGATAAAAATGACACTTGATAAACACGGTATAAAAATTAATATTCACTCTGACAGATTCTTTTTTGTTTTATTTTCTTCACAAAAAGGAAAGAAAAATCAAACAGACATCGTCCAGTGACATTGGACAATTTATGAGCATTAACCACTTGTCGACGGTCCTCTGATCTAGGTTTGAATTCATTCTGGACTTAGGTTAATCAAAAATCTAAATTTACTTAGCTATTCAGAGGAATATTTATGCTCTGGATTATTGTGACATCATCTGAAAACCATAAATATAATTGAGTTTACCTTTTTTAAAAATGGTCACAAATTTTTGAGAGAGCACAATCCATAGCTATTCTGATCCTGAAACAGCAGTAAACTCTCTACCTTAAATGTTTTTCAGTCAGATCATACTGTTACTCACCACAGCCTATTTCTTGGTGTTCCTCTTTTGATGTATTATTTTAGGCCCCTCTGGACTTTTTACATGTCTGTTAATAAATAAAATAGTTTATTTTCACTTGCCTCGATCTTGTCTGCATTTAGATCTTGCTCCACACAGTTAGCTGACAAAGCTACAAGAAAAACAAAAAATAAAACAAATGATCTAATTATTCTGATCAAATCATTAAAAATCATTTGACTAGAATAATGAATGAGCCTTTGGCAAAATATTGTCAACTAGAGATTCAACCCAGTGTGGAAAAGTATCGTGGTTTACTGATTATCTTGGAGAGGATCACAGGATGGTTAGAAACTCCAATATGGTCAGTAAGATAAACAATCCCATCTGTGTGGCAGAAGACAATTCTGTTCATCTTGTTCCTGCAACTACCATCTCGCTCAAGGCTGCAAAAAACTGGCACAATAATCTTTGATGTGGCCAAGAGGTTTGCATCACAAAGTGCCAGCAACAGCTTCCTCTGTCTGACAGGTGTTCTGGGCTGCAGGCTGCATTGGGCTGATGCTATCTGTGAAAAGGAAAACACATTTTCCCCTTGATGGAAAAAAAAAAACTGTTTTTATCTTCTGTTATGGAATTTCTTTAGACTGATACATTAGTTACTTTTGAGATATTCTAATCTTCTTCATGTCAGGTTCTGCTGAAGTGATATCTTGGTTCCACAGGTTTGTGCATGGTGCAGCTCCGATTGATCAGTTAATTTATGATCTAACAAGGCGAGTTTTCTTCAGATTCATTTTATAGCTTTTGTAAATAAAAAGAGAAATGATGACTGTAAAGGGGTAAATTCCTTTCCAGAGCACTGTTTCAACAAGATGCCAAATCATGCAGGCAGATGCTTGTCTCAGTCTTAAACAAAACAGTCTTTAGTTTTTAGACAATTTCTGGTTATCACCTATCTGATGAGACGATAAAGTAACAGACGGATCAGTCTGGGTAACATTGCAAGTGGCACACAGATTTATTCAGCGCTGTCGGGAGAAGAGGTTCCTTAGGGCATTGTTGTAGTTTTTATTGAAGGCAGTGTATATAAGGGGGTTAAAAAAGGAATTTGAGTATCCCAGCCACAAAAAGATACTCTTCCAAATCGGTGGGATGTCACAGGAGCACAGTGGCACGATGAGCTCGGTGATGAAGAACGGGATCCAGCAAAGCACAAACACGCCGATCAAAATGCCAACCATAAGGGCTGCTTTTTTCTCCTTCTGCTCCCGCCATGTGTCCCCGTCTGTCTGGAAGGTCACGGTTGCGTGGCGCACGGTGAACACCATCTGTGGCTGTTGGGCTTCCTCCTTTACCTAGGAGCACAGGATAAGCCAGACACTTCACTACTTTATCATTCGGAGCAATCCTGGATTGCTTTCAATGATTGAAAATCTTTAACAACAAAAGGACAAATGGCCAATTACTGCGCTGAATGCTGTTGAACAAAAAGATGGATTGCAGACTTCTAATTAGAATATGAATCAAACTAAAGATTTTCATTCAACCCATGCAAGCACACAACATTGGAGGAAAGTTACATTTTAACTTTGAGTACTACATTTTATTTTTTATTCTTTTGAGGTGGAGAATGACAAACAAACTCAACCTTCATTTTATTTCCTTCTGATTAATTTATTGCCAAACATAGCTCAAAACTATCATCCTGTTATTTGGTAAAGTTACCAAGGTCAAAGCTTTTGTGAGAGAAAACCATTTTCTTAAAAATACCAGAATTGTGAGCGAAGCATAATGGTCACAAGTTAGAGGGCCCCTCAACAAAGCTATGACTCTTTGCAATACTGGCTGCAATTCAAATAGAAAAAAAAAATAACATTGAATAACAAAATGTAGCCTCTTAAACAGCTATACTATTATCTACTATTATTTGCTATTGAAACACCTCTAAATTAATGGAAATCCTGCCACCTTTCCAGCATTATCGTTGAGCATGTTTGGGTACACAGAAGTAAAATCCAAAGGAGGCAGCCTCCTGTGATTGATCACCCTCCCCTCCCAGATGGGTAATGTTGTCAAGTGCTGTTTGCATTGAGGCTGCAACACTGCCAACAAGATAACCAACTTATGTGGCAGTTAAGTCTGCCCTGCTTGCCTCCACTTTTACTAGCGCACAACATGAAAGAGGAAAAAAAAAAACATAGGAAAGAGGTGCACATGTTTTGATTTGACATTTCTTCATAAGAAAATTCTCCAGTCGGACGCCATCGATATATTATGTTAACAGTACAATAATCCAGGAACTAAGTCTCACTTCTGATACTAAACAATAGCATAAAGAGCACGTTAAAATTGTAACATTACTCTGATATTTTTTTCTGGCAAGACAATTACATAAGGTTATAGATAGACAACTATACTATTGCAGTGCAGTATTACCCATTAAGAGTGTGAGGGTGCATGAATGATCAGTGATCATGGTTCGCTAATGTAAAGTACTACTGTTGGCTGGAAAATGGGAACTTGAACACAGACAGAATTTCCAATTACACTTCCAGGCACAAGCCGTCTTTACCCACAGTGGTACCTGGCAGGCCAACAGGGCTCACCACAGAGAACTTATAAATCTCTGCAGGGTGCCAGTTTTTTCTATGTCTCCAATGTACTGTAGTCAGACAACAGTTCTCCTGACTTCCTCCTCCTAACTACATAAATCACATTCAACTTTGTGAACTGAAATATAGGTCAGAAGCTTCAGACACTTTTATGTTGGACGGACACCGAATCCTTCTGTACTCTAAGCATTACATCATCACTATTTAGGCTGTAGCATTATGTGCATGTTTGAGGATCTGAATATGGTTTCAAAGTTTCCCAAGCACTGGACAAAGATATACCACAGCACAAATGAATAAGTCTAACAAAATAAGCTCAATAAACAAAAGATGTTCCCATTATCACCACAACTCACTTGGAAGTATTCATATTCAATTCGACATATATATACATATATACAGTATATACCCAAAGTGAAATAAAATGGTGTAACTCATTTCATTCAAGTGTCGTCAAAATTGTTGTGGAAGATGATGGTATGTGGGCACCACTGCTACTGGAAAGAGCTCCAGTAACAGATTACAACTATTCTGAAGAGGCCTCTGACTGCAGACACGACTGCATGACAAATGTGTCACATCATTTGTCATGAAAATGATGTGACACATCATTTGCATGACATGCTTACAACTTAATTTCCCGGGACACAGGAAGTATTTCAAGGGTTCAGTAATTATATACTTTTTATTCACAGCAGGATATCCAGGTTTACACCATCAGTTGTTGGCAAGCACCGCTATTTAATCTCACTTGCTTTTGTCTTATCTTTAATTCTCTGGCTGCCTGTATGGTTAGGAAGCTAGACAGAGAGATGTTGGAGTAGGAGATATGATCCTTCACCATTGTGATCAATGGAATTGGCAAATGTAAATATATGGAACAAAGTTCTTTTGTATTATACAATATATTGAACATTATAAAGTTGTGTTTATTGTTTAGCTTTTACACAATCTCCTCAGCCTCTTTACATAAAAAAAAGTAAAGAAGCATGTGAGAAAAATGCTAGCTGTCTTTGTATATTGATTTTACTGTTACGTCAAGTGTGCTCTGTGCATATATTGCACAGTAAAACTTGGGCTACGAGAGTATATACATTTTGATGAAGAACCAAATATAAATATGACATGAAAGAAATTTAATCTTCGAAAGCTGATTTGATGCAGACAATTCATAATATTTTGAATAAGAAACCAAGGGGGAAAATGAAACCATTTCCATGAGTAAATGTCTTTTGATGGATGTAGCTTAAAATGCTAATTTTGTTTTTGTGAGAGGGCATTTCAAAAGGTTGGTGATCTGAATAATATTTTATTTATTATGTCTACCTTCCTGTTCGGTTCCTGATGAGACGAAAAGGTTTGTGTTCTGTGAATAGCATCTATTGAGAAAACGCAACATGTCACATTAAGAGAGTACTAAAAATTGCAGAAGAAAAACCTAGGCAAGTACTAATCACAGTTTGCTTGAAATGTAGGCAGAATATCAAAACAATGTCTTGTATATGTAGTGGATGGAGAATTTATTGTTTACCCCAAAATTATTGTAATATAATGTTTTAAATTTATGTGGCATTGAGGTGAAAAGCTTCACCTCAAGTCCCTCCTTTCCAGTCAGAAAAATTGCTCCAATCAGGAGTAGAAAGAATATCACGATGTGTGGGATCAAAGGAGCATCTTGAGAGTCCTCCAACGTCCTTACACTATCAAACCAAAATACAAAAGAAGGCCTATGAAACCGATTGCTGAAAATACATCACACATCAGTTTCATGTCTTTTCATATAATATTGCATTCACAAACAATAAGAAACAACTCATCAAATAAAATGATTCAACTAGGGTTTTAATTCTGGGTTGTTTTGTTTAGAATTCAAGGAAACTGGCTGTCGCTTATTAAACTTCAAAGTCTTCAACTATGCATGCACTGAAATATAACAAAAACGTTCTCTTGCTGGAATATTCCTGATAACATTCTGCTCGATGTGGGGGGGCGAAATCAAACACCATAAAGGTCACATCTTCATGGGTTGTATATATGACTGAGCTCATTTAAAGCTGTTATAACTTCTACTGAAGGAGTTTCTCAGACGTGTGAGCTTTACACATTTTATCTTGCAGAAAAAAAACTTGCAGTGTTGCTTTGCAGCTTATTATTTTGACCATTTGGCCAAAGCAGCAAACACTCTCTGGATAAGATGAGTCAAAACATATAGTGCAGGCAACAAGACATACATTTAACACTTCTTTGCTTACATAATATGATACACTGATACATACATAAGCAATAGAATTGTCTTAGTCCTTGGAGAATAATTCATTTGTGTGCATTTCTTTTGTAAGAAAAATATGTTTATAAGTTATGAAGGTTTGGTAAAAGTGTGATAAGCTGTAAGGAATGAAAAACAACTGCTGTGGCTTCTGCTTTAAATCATGCCAAGTCATGCTTCTTAGTTCATTCTACGTGATTATATGAAAGGAACAGCTGTTGAGTTTTGGAGCGCATATGCTGCATTGGCTAAGCAACAGCCAGAAACAGCAGGAGCTGTGCCATAACCAAGCGATCAGCAGAAAGTGCAATTCACAAGAAGTTAATGGAAAAACATAATCATAGAAATAGAAAATATTTCAACTTTAGTGAAAAAAACTGTTACTAATCCTAGAGCTTTGTGAAAATACACTATGAAAGAGAGAGAGAGAAAGAAGGATTTAAGATTCTTGTGAGGTTCACAATCTGTTTGGTGTAAGTGAACAAAACAAATCAGTAGCAAAAGATAGGTGATGATGAATATTATGAGTTCAGAGGTAAATTTTTCTACATATTTTCACACTGAAGTATTGGTTTAAAAAGCAATCAATTTTATGGTCTCCTTGAGTGTTATTTGTGCATCTAGGTCAGGAATACGTGCATCACACCTATTAATACTCCATGTTTCTGCTGCAGTGTCTATAAGTGTGGGTACATCTTAATGTCTGAGTGGGCGTATTGATGTGTGAGAGCAGGAGGGTTACTTTCTTGGATTCCTCTGCTCATATCACTGCTCAAATTAACAGTTTGCAGGTTATGGTTGGAAATGAAGGGAGAAGAAGTTTTACTGAGATGTCGCTAATCCAACAGCCGTCTATGGAAAAACAAAAACAACAAACCCCAGCCCCAATAAAATCTATTACCTGTTGCTTGGAGATTGATTGTCTGATTGATGAAACCTGACAAAAGAAGGGTAGTGAAATATCAGAGTAGGTAATTTATTTAGTGAGACTAATTTATTTAGTTCTCAGCCAAGAGATTTTATTTTGGGGCTGATGCCAGAGATACACAACAAAAGGGGGGAAATGCATTACAAATAAAAATGGTTGTCAGGGAACATTTAATAATAATAATAATAAAATCTTAGTAGAAAGATATTCAGATGTTTTTTTTTTTAAAGAAAACATTAAGGTTCGAGAAAAAAAAAAAATCAATAACCAACCAACGCCAATGTTAATCTCAGATGTCTTTACAAAAGCAAAAAAATAAGGGGTTGCTCAATTTTCTCAGCTAAAACTTCCCTGATTAATAGTTGCTAATGTAAAATGGAACGGATCCAGACTTTCATGTGCACTAATTAGATAATCGGCATAGCTTGGAAGGTGCAGGCCCCCATTAATGATGCTGAGACAGTATTTATAGTCTTCAACTCTCGGCCTACGCACACATCAACAGTCTGCGGGTGATGAGTGTTATGACTTCAATTATTTTTCCATACGCTCACACATCAGGTACTTGTGCATTTCTTTGATTACTGATGAGCAGCTCATCAGAGACAGTAATAAACAATAGGTCTGAATAGAAGATATTCATGCTTGATACAACTTAAATATAGGAGGCTAAAATGGAAACATGACACAAATGTTTCCATTTTAGTGTCTTGCAAAAGGATTCAGATTTCTGGAACCTTTAGGTTTTTTCATTTTGCAACTATAAATTTCAATACATTACATGCATTAGTAGCACAAAGTAGAAATAACTGAGTTGTAGAAGGAAACTATTAGATGACATAGTTTTCTTAAAAAGTCTCGCAGTTTTTCTTCAGATCCTTTAAGTAAAATCTAAAGCAACAAACCTCAGAAGACATCTTAATAATACAGAAGCATAGCAAACTGATATGTGGTAGAAAACTAACATCACAGGTCACCCAAAACACACCTTTCCTGTTGTGGAAGAAATGTGGTCATGGTAGCATCATGCTGTGGGGATGATTTGTTGTAAGAGATGGTAGAATTTAATTTAGGATTAGAGTGGGAGAGAGCAACTTCCAGCAGGAAAACACTATACAGCAGACTTACCATGACATGCTTCAGATTAAAATAGTTTCATTTTATATTCAGAAAGGCTAAGTCAAAATTCATACTCACAATAGAAAACTGTGGGAAGACTTGAATAGCAATGGGATTTGACTCAGTAGTAGCAATACACCCGTGGAAGCTAAATAAAAACATGCCACATTTCGCAGATTTGTATTTGTGAAAATGTGCAAACAATCATAAATTATTAACTTTTCACTTTGCAAATATGTGCTACTTCAAGGCATTTTCCAGGTTCTCTAAGTGCATTATTATCTTCCAGTTCCAATTTCAATGCCACCTCCTCTCCATTTTCCCCTGCCGATGCAAGAGATGTTGGACCGCTATGTCTGGAAGACTCCTTCAAAAGTTTTTACATTTTCACCTTTTGATGGACTTTATTGTGAAGCTATGCAAGTTGAAAAGTGTAGTTGCTACGAATGAATAGTCAGTTATACTTTTTTAGCTGAAAATGGGAATTCTGGAGACCATCGCACACTCTGTTGCTGATTCTTTGACACTACCACAGTAAGATGCATGCCTTTTGTGTTGCTCTGTCATAAAATTTCAATGCAGTACAATGAGGTTGGCAACTGTTGTGAGACATGTTGTGAGACAAGATGCTGATTCAATGTTTGTATACATTTCTGCAAGGAATTATGCAAGGATGACAAGCTGCTTTAAGGAGATTGTAATAAAATAAGAATTTTTAATTACCTCAGCCATAGGGGTGATTGTGTTTGTCTTACGGGAGCCGATGCAAAACTTAGCAGCTTTGTAGATCTTCCAATAGACAAACAAAACCACACAAAGTGGGAGATAAAATGCCCCAAAGGTGGAGAAGATGGTGTAGGATGGCTCCTGGCTCACTTGACATTTCATCCCTTCTGAGTAGGTCTCTCCCCAACCAAAGAGTGGCGACAAGGAGATTATGGAAGATAGCAGCCATGTCAGCGCAATCATCACGTTGGAGATCTTTTTCCGAGTCTTGAGTGTGTACTCCAGGTGCCTGGTTATGGACCAGTAGCGGTCTAGTGCAATGGCTGTCACATTCCAGATGCTAGCCGTGCAACAGAGCACATCGAACGAGATCCACACCTGACAGAGGACACGTCCAAGTTTCCACAGTCTGCCGTTCAGCTCATGAACCAGGCTAAGCGGCATAACCAGTGCAGCTACCATCACATCTGAGATGGCCATGGAGGCCACCAAGTTGTGGGGCACCCGATGGAATGTCCTCACCCTGAGGATGGTCACCAGCACCAGGAGGTTCCACACAAAGGTGGCTGCCACAAGCATTGCCAATAAAGTGAGAGTGAGCACGCTGAAAACGGAGAATGGACGGTAAAGGTTTCCCCCGGAGTCATAGCTGTCCAGACCCCCACTGAAGTTGGCTGTCAGCGAGCTGGAGTTGCTGTACGTCATGGTAGCTCCTCACGACCCCAGAGCTACCATGGGCCAAGCAGATTCAGAGAAAATGTCTACAGGAAGCCGATGCATTCTGCAGAAAAAAGACAGAAACGGGGACTGTGATTCAATCTGAACCAAGTCTCATTGATGCAAATGAAGGTAAAAGATGGGAATATCTATTTAATGTATTGCATTTAGTATGATTTTTACTCTCTTAATATGCACTGCAGTGCATCATTGTGTTTCTAGAAGAGAGGTAGTTTAGTGATTTGCTCACAATGGTAAAACACACTCGAGTCTCTCATTTCAGCAGTCAAGCAACCTGCCTACAACTTTTCAAGTGCAATTTCATCTGCTATTAAAAAGGCTCAGAAGCACTCAGGGTAACATCTCTAGCTCAGAAAAAGACCATAAATATTCAGTTTCATCATCGCACTGCTGCGCTCTCATTTGCATTAGAAGCAGACCTGTGTGTTGCACCATGAAACAAACAGTCTTTGTTGCAGTTTTAATTTTTCGAAATGTCACACACATTTTATATATATACTGTATACATATACACACAAAAATTTATCTCATAAGCAAATTCTGCTTCATGCTTTAGGAATGCATATGCTTTGTTGTGAATAGGAATTTTTGCTTTGAAAAGATTCTATTGCAACATACTACTACTCCAATTTCAAGCCATGAAAAAAAAAAGTGCCAACTATATCAACACATTCACAGGAGGATGCTCGCCTAGCTCTAAAGTCTGCACAGCGTGATTTTCAGCATTGTAGAAACAGTACATTTCAACCCACCAAGTGCTGTTGTTACTTTGTGACATATGATTTTTCCCTCTTTACCCTGGCATTGATCTTTATTTTTGTGCTTCTTTCCTAAACTATTTAACTAGTGTAAAAAATGTTACATTAGACATTAGCAATAACAATTTCGTGCACTAAGTTTTGGAAAATATATCTATACATGCATGTTTTAACAATCCCTTAAGATGCTAATTTTAAAGTTAATCACAACTTGTGATTTACTTTAATCACAAGCTGTGATTAAAGTTACATGCATGATTTTGCATGCTTTAAACATTTTACCGTCTCCCAGGAATTCTGTGAAATATGAACATTTTTGCGTGACCTTTACACCTACAAATTATTGAAAAGTTTTACAGAAGCATTTTGAATGCTTTGCAAGATGATAACTGGTTTCCCCATCTACTCTGAATCCCAATTGCTCATAAGGTAAATCAATTTTTGTAGTATAATTCCATCCATACAATAAATATCTGCTACCCAGACTTCCATAGTTTTATGATTAAAGAATTGATCCATTGAATAAAATCAGATCTGTCTAGCAGATAACAAAAGAAGCTTTGGTTGAAATCTTTACGTGTCATAGCTTTATTCGCCCAAAAGGTTTAATCGGATGGATGTTCTCCCTGTGCATCACAAAAAGATTCATCAGTTGTTATAAGAAAAATGTCATGTAAAAGTTGAAGTCTCTTCCTGAACCAAAACTTTTTCGCATTCAGTCATGTTACTACCACAAGCACTCGTGATGCTTGTTCTTGAGGTTTTTTTGAGGGGTGGCGGGGCACATTTCAAACCAACACAAAGTGTTATGTAACTATGAAAATACTAAAAACAAAATAAGAATCTGAAATATATGGCCTGCATACCATTAAGGCCCTTCTGAAGCAGCAACTGTTTCTAATCAGATCAGCTTATGTTAAGCATTGATGTTTGCTGTTTCTTATGCCATTTATATTAGGTTTCCAGCCCCATTGGCTAAAAATACATCCAATGGATTATATTTATGCCCCTCTGTTAAACCACGAGGAGCGTGTTTTTGGGGTTAAATGTTTCTTCTTTTTTGTGCCATATTGAAGCTACAACATCACGGACAAACAATTAAATTTATGTTTCATCTCATTACAAAACAAAAGACATCAAGTCTTATTCTTTGTCCAGATAAGCTTTTTGTAAAGGCGATGGTCACTTCTGTGGGGCTTACTTAGAGAAATGACTTATTTCACCCAGCTTTGTCTTCTTTGTTGCCAGCTGCATGGCTGATGTGGTTCATAATGGGGATTATTCTCGTATACCTTTTCACCTTGCACACAACATCAACCTTTCCTGTGTAGGTGTCACTTTTGACTTTCAACCAAATCCTCTAAGATTTTCCAGAGTGGAAAGTCTGATACTGCAGCCTCTGGAACTTAAGGATACATACAATTTACATAAAGCCTGGTAGGCTGGATCGCTGAGTTTTAAGCAGTCACATGTCCTCACTGAGCTCTTTAGCTTTAGCCATGACTTGTCAGAAAACAACTGCAGATGTTCTTCACTTGCTAGGTTGATGCACAGCACTTTTCAGAAATAAAATGGGCTATTGGGATGCTTTAAAGCAGCCTGTTTGCAAAGGCTTGCAGAACCTTTAACTTCACAATTTGAAATGGGTATGAATAATTATGGGCATGCACTGTTGCATAAAATTAAAGTTACATAGAGAGAAAATCTTTGATGAATGATATTATATTTTGCCATCTATATTTTTGCCACTTAGCAGGAGCACATTGAGCGAATTTAAAAATATTACTTCAAATCAAAGCTCAACTCTGTTTTCAACCCCCCTATTCAAAGTACCCCCCTATATGGATAGACCCACTGTCTATCCAGTGCAACAGTGGGTTGCACTGGATTGAATCCAGTGCAACACACTGTTGTCAAAAGTCATTAAACCTATGCCCTCTGTGTGCAAGTGAATTTAAGGACAAATCCTGCTGTTCTGTGAAGGCATCAGAGGTTAAAAACAGAAAGAGAACAGCATACCTATTAACATACCACTGCATGGCCATTGACCTTAAGTCTACTGGTTGGACTATTCAGAAGGAACCATGAAACTACAGAGATCCACTTGAGACTGAAGTCAAAACTTACCTTTCAACAGGAAAACAGCCCTATACATTTTCTCATTAGCGTGCCTAAATCCAAATGAAATTATGTGGCAAAGCTAGAAATTGCATAATTTTCTTTTCACAATAATGCACTAAATTATTCCCCAAATTTGTATGTGTGACATATGAGAAAGCCAGTAAGTGAAATGTTACATTACCTCTTGATGTTACAATCTGCTTCCTCCGATCAATAACTTCACAACACTAACCCCTGTGCTCCTTCTCCTGCCCTCTCTCATTAACAAGCCCAATAAAAATGCTGTACAAAGGGGCAGCTGTTGTGAAGGGAAAAGGTGACAGAGTATGCATGCATCCTGAATAGCAATCTTGCAGTAACTCTGCTGATATTACAGAAGCAGGGGCAGGTGTCAGGAAGGGCAGTGGACACACACTTTGCAAAAACTAAACACCCAAATGGAAGAATACAGAAAAACACACACACACACGCCTGTATACATATACACAGATGCGAGAGGAATGGAGAAAATGACTTCAAATGGCTTTACAGTCATTTAAGTCAAAGAGCAACAGCTACATTGCTTTGTACTTTGAAAGAACCAGCTGGCTCTTGGGTGAAATACTCCTGGGAATTTTAGCTGACATAAATGGATTGTGATTGTAATCTCATTACCTATGCAAAGGTGTCCACATCTACCATTTAGTAGGAGGAAAGAGGTACGGAAGGGTTTCAAGCTGAAGGATGTACTTGATTGTGGTACAAAAACAGCAATCTATGAGGAGCTTATACCTTTCCAAGGCTCATCCAACACAGAGTTCAAAAACTTGCAGGGGCATGTTTCCTTTTCTCAGAACCCTTTCAGTTGTCAGCCAGTCTCTTCTGGATGCAAACGTAATTTTCTGTAAGAAAGAAAAGCACTTTGTCTCCACGGTGATTGCCTCTCTTTCATGACTGTTTCTGTCATTGTTTTTCCTGTCTCTTTTTGCTACAGTTTGAAAATAAAAATGTGACTTTCTTTTTTTTAGAAAGTTTGTCAGCAAAGAAGCCATATTAGTTAAATAGCAAATGTAACATCTCATTTTCATTTCACATTTGGGGTCCAAATGCAGTGTCACAGCCAGTCCTGTGATTAAAACTGTACCTGCGTGAATGACATTTTCTCTGTGCAAAAAGCTCTTCATTAGGAAAATTGTTGTCTGCTCAGCTGTTGAACAATTTCCTCTGAGGAGAGTTTCTCTGAGGCTGACATTTGCGGATGAAAGGAAGCGGAGGTATTGAGATGTGTCCTCTGACTTGTGTTAAAACCTCAAAAGAAAAATGCAAAAAAAGAGGGAAGTGAAGCCTCATTTTTTCCAATTTGGTCCTGCAGAATGAATTTGTCAATCAATGCAAATTGTATGTTTTTTGTTTTTTTTTGGGGGGGGGTTTCTGCCATCTTCTGCCACACATGTACAGATGTCTAAATATAATTTAGATTTTACACAACAATACAATAAAAGGATTGCAATTCTGTCACCACTTTCATCATAATAATCTCGGAAGACACTTGTTACACTGCATTCCAGAAACACACCTTTACCTTTGAGACAAGAGTAGTCAGAAAACACAATTTTTCATGTCTTGTTGGAAAACAAAATTTCGGGTCATCCTTCCCTGAACAATAACTCACCCCGTTAACAGTTAAACGCGGAGCAGTCCCGACGATCTTGGTCCTGATCTCTTCATCCATATTCACTTTGCTGGTGTTTCAGTGCTGTGACTGAGCCGCCTGGCTCAGTGAGTGGATGACGGCAGGAACGCGCCTCGCTCCGGAGGATACGGAGCGGCTGGAATGAACCACGGCGCGAGCTCAAGGAGGGGAGGGCTCGCGCCAATTAAACGATAAACGCCACGTTTTCTTGCAGGAGAGGGAGACTTGATTGGTTGTGATCCGCACCTGAACACAACTTTTATTTTCTCTAACAGGCGGAACGGACGCGCATAAATGTATCCCCGTCAGCAGCGCGTCTTGGAAAGATTCCCTGTTTCCAATTAGTCTGACCATGCAGTGATCAGAGCGAGCTTCAGGAGAACGGCTCGTGCTGCTTTATGATTGATAATCCTCCCTGCAGTATCTTTGTAGGGCAACACGATGAACCCCTATTTCACAGAAAGTAGCTTGAAATCCAATTTATGTTAAGAGAAAGCGTACTTGTAGAACTTCTAATTGAGTTCTTCTTGATCGGAGCATAGGGAGATCCAGCGGGACACAGGCTGTCCTGCAAAAAAAAATAAAAAATAAGGGGAGAATTTTCCTTTGAGACTCATTAATGTAGCAGCCTTCATACACCCTGAAACGTTCTGGGTTACATAAAATGAACCCAAATGCTGAGCTTTGGTCTAACAGCAGAAAAAAAATCTCTGCAACTATTTTACCCTTGATGCCCATAAAGTCTGAATTATACAAAGAATATTGGATTAGTTGTGTTTTGGTTTTACTTTAGTTCAGTCCTTCTTAGTGTTGCTAGTTGTGTTTATTTCTTCGAGTTATTCTTAATTACCACAGTTTAATCATTTCTTGTGTCTCTTATTACTTAGTGTTAAATTGATTCTTTCTCGCTCCTCAGTCTGCCTTTTTACTCTCTCCTCTCACACATGTGACCAGTTTGCCAATCAGTTCTTCGTTTCCCAGTACTTAAGCTCCTCTCTTTCAGACACTCCTTGCTGGTTCCTTGTTACTTCCCGTTCGGCTCCGTCCTTCGTGTCTCTGTGCAATTACTTCCTGGATTCCTGGATTCAGAATTATTTTCTACCTTGGCCTCCTGTGGATATTTGTAAGTTCTTGTTTCTCATTTTTTCATTAAACATTTTTATTATCTCCACACCTCTACTATGTTTCAATTGAGTCCACAATCAACCACAAACAAATGTGGTTGATTATTATTAATAAACAATCCAAGCAAAGTAATAATAGATGAGATTGCCTTATAAATGATGAGATTGCATTATAAAGTCTGATTCTTCTCAGACTTTATAATGCCAGGTTTTTATTGGCATTATCTGAACTGACATTCAGATGGTTGTAAATATACAAATAACAACAAAAAATCAGTTTAGAGTACTAACCTGATGGGCAATTTCATCAAAAAGAAACAAGAAACCCGGTAATAAATGTGCCTCCGGAACAGCTGGTTCCAGCACCATGGTCAGCGCCAAGGGATATTTCCATTTTACTACACATGAAGCAAGCCAGTTTATTTTTGCACAGGCTGCATGAAGTTACAAGCTTTTCCCCTGGATCTGCGATGGATATGTAAACACACACACACACACACCATCCCACTCATTTGCTCCAGCATGTGTGGAGTAGGCTTATCCAACTCTCTGACTCTTACTTCTTTTCTAATCCAAGGGATTTCTCAGAGACAAAATAGCGTCTGCTAACTTACTGTGAAATATGCAGCTGCACACATGCAAAGGCACACTGAGAGTTTATCACAAAAGCCAATTCTTGGAGAGGGAAACATTCAGGCAGCTAAAGCATCTTTTCAGCTACTCTCTGAATTCCCTCATTAAGGCGCTGCTGCACAAAAAAATATTCATCATGGCAATCCACACATCATGTGACACTGCTCCTTTGTATGCAGATGCAAGACCATGACTAAAAGTGTTCAGCTGGTAAAGCCCCACGAAATAAAAATGAACTGCAGTAAAGAATAACAGTGTGCTCATATCTTGCAGGATGTAAGTAAAGTTTTTCACAGGAAAGTGAAAGCTTCAATGTCTTTTAATACATGTGGACCCCGTTGGGGGGAAATGTATATTTTTGCCTTGTTTTGAGCTGCTGACAATCAACTCTCATGAAAATCCTTCCTCCTCTGCTCTTCTTTCTTCTCCAAAACAGAGTCCTCTTTTTTTTCATCTGTGCAGCTTCCCACTCATCACATCTCCGACCTTGTCCTGCCACACTTGTCCTTCCCCATAAATTGCCTTCATCATCAATTACTGCTATTGCAACCAGAGCATAAGGCCATCAGCATCTATAACTTCACTCTGCAGGTCCTGTGAAATGACCAGAGTGTAAATATGGCGCTGCCTTGAGTGAGGGACTTCACCAGTAAACATGTCATGTAAATTCTAGCCTGGTTGTGTACCAGTGTATTTGTGTGTGACTTGCAGGATCAATGTAAGGTGTGATTGAAAGTAAAGAACAATTCAACCTGGATTTTCATTCTAGGGTGTCCTCTGTATGTTCTGTGATCCCAGACCGTCACACATTGGTTGACTTGTGATCAGCAAAAGAAATCTTAATTGCTGTGCTAAAGTAGTGTTATGATTTAGTCCTTTACATGCTCTTTGCTCTGATTGCTATGATTTCACTCAATTTCACACAAAATCAACATGCAAGATGCCTAAAAAGTGAGTTTGGGTCCCTTTTTTTCAAGATGCAGGCCTTATGAAATAAGACAATGATTAGATAAGCTTCTGAAATTATTATATATTTAATCACACCATTGTCTGGAGCTAGTATTTTCATTTTGACAGCACAAAAAAAGATGTTTGACTGAACTCATTTGATTGAGAAATCTGTAAAAATAATGGGGAAGTCCAGTATTAAAGTCCAAGGAATGAAATGAAGATCTAAAAAGGAAATATAATTCATCAGAAAGACCTTAGAAGCCATTTCTAAGCAAATCTTAGAAATGCTGTGCTAAAACAGATTTTTGAAGTGGTTCAAGTGAAGAAAAACTAAAGAACATTTAATTAAATCTCAGTGGACATCTGAATGTGTAACTTTGATACTTTTGTGACTCACACAATATGCACAAGGACATAAAATTTTGCTTCCACTTCTTAATGTTGAAAATCATAAAAGTTATGGATTCTTGACTTGTAAGAAGTCCAAGTTCTGTGTCAAAGACACCAAACCAAATCACTACCACTGCTGGCCTTGTTGCTGTTCTGGTTAACTTGGCTGCGTGAGCCGCCACTGGTAGCATCTATTGTAAGTACCACATTTTCCAACAGTTGTATGTGTTCACTTGTGTACCTGGTTAAATTTATTAGGACTAAATGATTGATGTTGTTGTTTTCTTTGCACTGCAGACAAAAAGGCAACTATCATGCTGCACTTTCTGCTGCCCTTGAAGCTTAATGACATGTATCTCCACTCTACCACCCATAGCTAATTACAGCCTCAACATATGTCAGTGGCTGTGAAAGCCAGTGGAGGCTTAGAAAGAAAGGCAAGGTGTTAGGTTGTGATGTGCTGATGTAAGCAGCTCCGCATGAAGGAAAAGCAGAGGACATTCAGTAAATTGAGAGGATGGAGAGGAACAGACACTGTCTGACAAGCTGTTGGCAGAGTACACCAAGAGCACAAACTCCTGAACGATGCTCTGAACTTGTGGTGTGTTCAGAAATGTTGCTCAAATTTAAGTTAGTGTAAATATTACATTTCGTCAAGCTGAGGATTTAATTTTGAAGACTTTGTATAGATGCCAAATCCTGCAGCACACCACTTTGGGTTTATGAACTGTTTACTCTTTTTTTGTTGTTGTCCTCAGTGCAACAGCATTAAAATGCACTCCAAATATAGGCTGAACATGTATTATTAAATATAGATTTATATTTTTACATAATCTGAAATCATTTTAATAATTTTCTGGAAGTAATGTTTGATTAAACAGCTGCTTCGACAAATACTTTTTATTCAGAAGTATTACTGTGAGAGAGCAGATCTGTGCTGTACACATTAAACTGTCAGCCTCCAGTTTTCCTTCATAACATCTACCCAGAGAGTTCTACTGTGTTATTTTTAGGGCAGCATGTATCAGGCCTTTAGCTTCTGATGACACAGCATAAGACATCATCAGATCAGTTACAGCCAGGCTACAAACAACAGTCAAAATATATCCACGTCAGTCTCTGGAGAGCCGAACCATGCCGGTTTTATCACAGCGAATGATGTTTAACTTTATAACCAGTGTGTGAGCAGCTGCAAGAAAAAAACAAAATATTGGATTTATTCTGTGCTCCACCAACATGCTGCATTATGAAAAGTGGAACATAATTCCATGCCTTTCAACTGCCTTTCCCAACATCCTCCACACTTATTGCCACCTGTGGTGATAATGTGGTGAAAGTCCAAAGATCAACAGATTTTCTTGGTAGAAGTGTAATGTCACACTAAAAATTGGTAGAAAAACATAACCTGTAATTTATAATTTCCGAAAACAAAAACCAAGGCCGGAATTAAAGGGGGGTTAAAAAAACAATCAAAAACAAGCATTTTCAGGTCATAATTTTATTCTCCACTCAAATGTACCTAGAGTGTTTTTTTTTTTATTCTTTCATACATGTTTTTAGAAATCCCTTTATCTCATGTGGCAGCCATTCAGGGCGCCTGTACATTTTGCTCTCTCAAAGCAAGTCTGTTTTCACAAAGTACCCAACCTGAACTTCTATCTCACAGAGATCCCTTCTCACACGCCTTCCTCACTCAGCTCCTCTAGACTAGCGGCAGCAGCAAAAAGAAAGCACTTTTTGGAACTGTGAATCTGCTGAGCTTATCATCATACAAATGACTTGTCCAATACTCCTAAGAACTGTTGTAAACGGCATAATGAGAACGACTGTTGTGATGATGTGACAGAGGCCAATTTTAAGGGGTTAAATTGTGAAGCCAAATTTCTTTTTAGCTATGTTTTGATACATACAGAATTGGATGACATTTTGCCTGCTCTTTGAAACAAAAACTCATCTCCTGGGTGTAAACTATCAACC